TGCATTGTATTGTTAATTGGCAAAAAAATATTTGGAAATGATTTTACTTACTTTAAAATCCTTTTGAATTAGATTGAGTTATCAGCACACAGCCAATGCTAAATTAACTTTTCCAATTCGTTGAGATAATTTTAGTCAATTACGCCATTATAATAATAACCAAGGAAGGGATATAAGCTTTAACCATTTTAAGGGGTTTAAAGCTCTATTACAAAATTTCAGCAAAATGCCGTTATAAATAGAAAATGAAAAAGTTGTTATCTAAAACGACTGGGTATGCAGATGCAATCTATAAAATTAAAAATTTATTAGCATTCTGATGAATGAAATTAAAATTAAAATTAGCCGGTTAGCCTATACATTTATTCATTAAGGAATTATCATATTTTATTTATTGGTAAATAAAGTTAATAAATCTATTAGAATTTATAGTAGGCAGTCCCACCTCGCGATATCATCGTCAGATAACTCTTGTCTCTGCTGAGAGAGAGATTCATGAATAAAACAAATTCCCGTATTTTTTTGTTCGTATCTTAATCATTATAATTTCAAATATATAATTACCAGTCGCAGGGAATATTTCTTATATTATCCATGCTACTGTGCAGAGATAGCATTTGCATGTTGCCAACCTCGAGACGTGTAGGTTGGTTACATGTTGGTATGCCTGCGGTTACAGTTGTTTCGTTGAAATACGGACGGACGAAAATTTATACGCATAAAATATGGTAGCCTTAAGACACGGCGCGCCATATTATCTTGCTATTTTGTATGCCCACTTGTAATTACCAGTTCGTTTGCCTTTTTTGCTCTCCTTGCTCTCCCTGCTCTCATTTATTTCGCGTTTTAGGTAATTCGTCACGCTACGAAGTCAAGAAGCGTACACCAAAAAGTACACCAAAAGTAGCTTCTTAAACGAGTGGTATATTTTGTATTATTTATAACCAAAATCTGTACACGCTGATATAAAAGTTTCCTTAAAACGTAAATAGGTTCGTTACACACCGTTGGCTTTTAATTAGGCACCGACAAACTAGTAATCACAGCAGTGACCGCAATAATCCAACACGTAGTGTGCAATTAAGTTTGACAAGGACATGTCGAAGAAACCGACAGCACTGCTGTGTTCTGATCTATTATTTAGTCATTCGAATGGCATTTACATATTCTGGTTTTATTTGCATACAACGGTAATAAATTAATAAATTACCATAGGGCACACATTGAACAAAATCACAAATAAACTATTATAAAACACGTCCTGACACCTATACGTCAGATACAGAACATCAAATACGTAAACTCCATACAGAAATCTGCATTATCGAGAAAACTCCAATAAAGCAGCGTTCGCTATTTGTTGCTATGTATAAATACAGATGCAGGGGGGTATAAGGGGAATTTGACAACAGGCAACAGTAAAATAAATCTAGCATGCGTTGAAACCCAAGTTGTTTTTGACAAACCCCAGTTATTAACCACGTGATTCTTACTTTGTTGTGATTGGTCTTTTCCAACTTGTTCGTTGATGTTCGGTTTGAGAAATTACAAATGGCCGACAGCGTTGTTGAAGTGGTGTGTACAAAGTTTTATAATCCAAATTTTCTTTGTTTTAGGTAAGTAAACTTGTTAATTTCGGCTTTAACATTTTATTAGGTGTTTTTAGTCAAGTTTGAGTTAGTTGTAGCATCATTACCGCGTTTAAAATAAGAAAATACGTGTGATAAACCGTATCGGTTTTTTTCTCTATGTTTACCGAAAACACATGTAGTTAATAAAATTCTTTTTATGCAATGAAACCTATGGCAAAGAGTAAAGACTCTTACTCTTTGCTTATGGGTTGTTTAACTAATGCAAGTTTTGATAGAATTTAAATAGTTTTAAAGCGTTTTGATTCAAAACTTTCAATCAAAACAGTTTTTTACGTTTTTTTCTCGACACTAGTTGCTGTTATACAAAATGTTAAATATACCTATAATCTTTGTCAAAATGTATGTTTTTGTTAAAATTATTTGATGTAGCTACGCGAAAACTGGACCTGGGTCCAGGGCCCCACTACATTGGCATTTGGTGGAGCGGAGGTTATTGAACGAACAGCCCCCTCATCGGTGGATCGGACGTAAAGGGCCCAACAATTTGGCACTTCATGTATGGTCAACACATTCAACCGATCTCACAGTGTGCGACTTCTTTCTCTGGGGCTTTATAAAAGATAACGTTTATGAGCCCCAAGATTTGTAAAAGCTAAATACACGAATTGGAACTGCCGAGTATCTACAAGATGTTTGCAGCTGGAAGAGGTCATATTAAACACTTGTAAGCATACAGTTCAAAACTTGATTATATTACAAATGTTTTATGCTTTGCATTTTTTTTTTACATAAATATAGCATTTTATACAGGGTGATAATCTTTTACAGTATTTTTATAGTTATTTTATTTGAAGGGGTCAATGCAAGAAGTGTCTAAGTCACATTTTCAATTAAAAGAGCACTTTATAACTTTATTTGTTCTATCTGAAAGTCTGACATTTTTAATGTACATAAATAACTAGACAATTCATAAGCAAACCTTTTAAAGAATTATTTTTAAAGTTTTTAATTCAATTATTTTTTGCTACAATATCAAATTGATTTTAATTTAATATAATTAATTTTAGCTTCTGCAATAATGGAACAATTAGACAAGATTTATCCTGCATGAAGAAAAAGAATGAAAGCTTTACTCGTCAATCCCAAACAGAAATATTTGGCCAAATTTTTTTAATAATAGGTAGATATATTTTTTTTAATTTAGAATACATTTTTAGTTACAATTGGTGGTGTGTGAATATTTTTACCAAATAAATTAAGTAGTAATATTTAATTCAAACTTAAAATTAAATATTTAAACTACATAAATAGTTTGAATTATTTGAATAGTTCAATAATTACAATCATAATCTATTCAAATAAGTTAATTAAGGGTTAATAACAAGTAAATAACATTCTTTTTATTTCAAAATAAATTTTAAATTACAATTCCAATGTTCCATTTCTTCAATTACTATTGGAAAATTTTAATTTTCTAATTGAACCATTTCAAAATTTGAAACATTCAAACTATTCAAATAATTCTTGAATTCAATATTCACACATCCATAGTGACAATCCAAATATAAAAAAGTAAAAGCCTGACCATTAAAGAAAGTACACTTTTAGTATTTACTCCAAATATAATTAAATTGTTTATTGTTAAAACAAGCAATCTTACATTTTTATATTACATACACTTCTGCTTTAAATTATTATTTTGAGGCAGAAATATTTTATTTAGGATTTTTATTAGGATATTAAAAAAGGATATTTTCATGTTAAAACAGCACAAGTCAACCATTATTAGTTTTTATAAGATTTTTAAATTAAAAAATAAACAAAATCATATTTAGTTAGTTACTTAGCTTGTTTTTACAATAAACCATTCAATTATTTTTATGCTGGTAAAACAATTACCTTTAGCATAAATAAGTAGCATAAATATTGATACATTATTTTTATTTAATTTTAAAAATTATTAGGTAATATCAATTGTTTTACAATTTAAATTGATTTTAAAATTGGTATTGATTTCAGGTTTGGGTTTGTGTTAATGGAAGAAGCAGACAGGACTTGAATTTATCAAACTTCTTTGCAAAAGAACATAGAAAATATTAATTGCAGTTGAATATTCTTCATTGAATCAAGAAAAAGACGCAGGTTCAATCCATGAATCATGAACAAGATAAAAGACAATTAATACTTAATATTGACCAGAAAGTTAAATCATACATAAAGATTTTAATTTTGCCAAATACATACATAATAACAATATTTTTAACATTGAGATTTAAGTGGTTCTATTGATTATTAATTTTAATTAAACCAATTTTACTAAAAATTAAATATTCCAAAGAATGTAATTTAATTTTTGGATAAGTAGGAATTCCTTTTTGCCAAAAATTCTATATTTTACAAAACTACAGTATTGTGCTTATTTTAAAAACAAATTATAATCATAATTCCTAAAAATTATAAGAGTATGGTTTGTAATAAGTCTAATTATTGCATTAAACATTTTAGGCATTAGCCTTTTGGTTTATTCCAATAAAGAAATTTGGAAATACCTATAGGTATACAATAAGTCAGTATGTATTACAAAATTATTTATTTTTATGAATAACATATTCAAAGTTAAAATAATTTTAATTATATAATATACTCGAACTGTTTTAAAAGGTTGTTTTCTAATAAGGACCAATAAGTATTGAACTATTGTTTATCAAGAATTTATCAAATATTTTGATGGTTTGTAATATGTTTTAGAGTTAATTTGTTTATAAACCTTTGCATTTTTATTAAAAAATCTTAAAAAACCTATAAAAATTGTTATTATGTGACACAAAATTAAAATTTCTGAACATTATCGCTGTAATCAAGCGATAATTGTCTTGTAAGCATATATAAGAGGGTAATTATCAATTTAATGTCATACTTTTTAATAAATTATACCTAAATAATTATAAATTATTATACATGTTTGATAAACCTTTTTTTAAATATCACTAAAAGATATAGAATTTCTCCTCATTTAAATATTATTTGTTAGTTATACTTTAATTTAAAATTGAATTAAGTGTATATTTTGTTAAATATATTTATTAAAAAAACAAAAATGTGTGTTTTTCCACTTAATTAGTGGAAAATAACCGAAAATTGTCGAAATTTTATATTTTTTGATTTTTAATGGACAATATTACGTATATAATCCTTTTAAAATCAAAAAAATATAAAATTTAAGCAATTTTCGGTTATATTTCCTTGTTTTAAATAAAAATTCAAATAGCCAAACATTCAAATTTCCCGCCGAAAAAAACAACTCGGTTTTCCAAGCCTGCTAGATTTAAAAATCAACCAATGCTTGTTGCCACTTTTGACTACAGCGCTTTTAATTCTCTTATGTTCTGTGTACAGATGTCGCCACCACCAATCAAACATAACCCTACTTCGGTCGTTACTGCTGTTTTTGAATTTTCTGTGATATCTCATTAAAAATGTTTCCCACGAGTACTCAAGCCAAACACTGGATGTACAGTAGCGAAGAAGAATTAAACGAACTCAGGGAAAAAACGAATCTGAAACATATTCAAGTATACGGAAGAAATGTTAATGTAAGACAGCATATTAATGTCAATGTTTTTTGTATTTATTATTCACTTATTTTAGGATAGCAATAAGTATGAATATTATTTAACCCCTGAAGAAGAGAAAATAATGCTTAAACACTACGAGTTGAGGTTAAGAGACTTCTGTAAGCGATTTCAACCTCCGATGCCAAGATGTGTTATTGGGACTTCATTCCACTACTTCAAAAGATTCTACATTCATAATTCTGTTATGAATTATCACCCTAAAGAAGTTATGTAAGTTGTATAATATAATATAATAAAACGTTTATATATTTTTTTATATTTATAATTTTAGGGTTACATGTATTTATTTAGCTTGTAAGGTAGAAGAATTTAATGTAACCATACAGCAATTCGTTGCTAATATTAAAGGAGACAGGGAAAAAGCCACAGATATTATTTTGAATAACGAATTGTTGCTAATGGAACAACTTAATTTCCATTTGTGTATACACAACCCGTTTAGGCCAGTAGAAGGATTATTAATCGATATAAAGGTATTAGTAACCACATAATGATTGGAATATAAAATTAAATACATTTTTTCAGACTCGCAGCACTCTAAATGACCCGGAAAGGCTTCGGCCAGGAACAGAGCAGTTTTTAGAGAGAGCCCTATTAACTGACTGTATTTTATTGTACTCTCCAAGTCAGCTGGCTTTAGCGGCCGTTTTGCATGCTGCTTCCAAAATCCACGAAAATTTGGATTCTTATGTGACTGATACACTGTTTGGGGAGGAGGGAAGAGCTAAATTGATGGAGTTAATTAGTGCTGTAAAAGGTAGGAAAATTTACAATATAACAGTATTAATATTTTTTACTCAACCATTCAAAAAACATAATTCCATCATTTTTTATAATAAACTCCTGGACAAAATTAACGCAACATCAAAAAATTTGCCACATTTTTTATGCTATTTTTTTGTTGAATTTATGATCCGATTTGAATGATTTTTGTTTTGCATTGTAGGTTGGTTCCTTGACAATGTCATAATTTTCGCTGTTTATGATAAAAAGTTCATTTTGGATTTATACCGGGTGTAATAAAAATGTACTGTTTTTTTCCGAAAATTCGTATCACCCTGTGGAGTATACTAGCAACCGAAACCTATAGCAGTTAACATTAGACGGTAGGTCCATATTTCGCCAACATATTCTTTTTTGGTTTACTTCATTATCTCTGTTATTAAAGGAGATACGCTGTTTTATAGCGTAACATGTTTTTATAGACTTTATTATTCAAAACATTAATTGTTAAATGTTTTCAAGTAGGCTATGGAAAATTCGCCATACTTATAACAACTGTTCGAAAACTGCTTATTAAATGTTCGTTTCGTATTTTAATCTTGAAAAATGAATCGTCCAAAAAATTTTTCGACAGAAGAAGCAGTAAGAGACTTAACTTTGGTGAATGAGGGCTATTCGATGTCATGTTGCTAATGTGATAGGAAGACATCGTTCGACTATAAGTCGTATGGTTAAACGATTTAACGAGACAGGATCTTACTCTTCAAGGTCAGGACAAGGGCGAAAACGATGTACCGATCCAAGGGATGAGCGTTTTATTAGGTAAACTGCTCTAGAAACAAGGCTAAAAAGTGAGCTTAGAACTGCTCGCCATAATACAATATCGTCTCGAACAATCAGGAGACGTTTAAATGAGGCAGGAGAAGACCGGCAAAGAAACAATTACTTACCATAGAGCACAGAGTTTCAAGATTGCGTTTTGCCAGAAATTATCATCATTGGACTGTTAATGATTGGAAGAATGTTTTATTTTCTGATGAAACGAGAGTTAGTCTCAATGCTCCTGATGGTGTGAACGTGTTTGGGGAAGGTCAGGAGAGAGATTTGCAAGTGGCAATATCTCTCCTAAAATCCCGTTTGGTGAAGGCTCAGTAATGATTTGGGGAGGAATATGCTTCAACGGACGCACAGAGTTAGTCCCTATACGTGTAAGATCAATGAACGCCGATTATTATCTAGAAAACATGTAATGCCATTTGTTCCTTTTTTGGGACCTAATAGTTTATTTATGCAGGATTATGCATTTATCAAAGCGAGCAGAAATTATACAATTATGCAGATAACAAATAATCTAAACATCTCTTGAAATGTCAGAAAAGGTCCATAGCCTACTTGAAAACATTTAACAATGATTGTTTTGAATAATAAAGTCTATAAAAACATGTTACGGTATAAAACGGCGTATCTCCTTTAATAACAGAGATAATAAAGTAAACCAAAAAAGAAAATGTTGGCGAAAGATGAACCTACCGTCTAATGTCAAGTGCTATATGTTTCGGTTGCTAGTATACTCCACAGGGTGATACGAATTTTCGGAAAAAAACATTACATTTTTATTACACCCGGTATAAATTGAAAATGAACTTTTTATCATAAACAGCGAAAATTATGACATTGTCAAAGAACCAACCTACAATGCAAAAAAAAAATCATTCAAATCGGATCATAAATTCAACAAAAAAATAGCATAAAAAATGTGGCAAATTTTTTGATGTTGCGTTAATTTTGTCCAGGAGTTTATTTATTATGGTACTGGAATGCACAAAAGTCAAAAATTGAGCTGGAGGAAAAAACAGAAAATTGGGAAATTTTTAGAAAAATTGACTTTTGCATTTTTTTCATTTTATTCAAATGGTAATACAAAAAAATGTAAAAATCAATTTTTCAAAAAATTTCCAAATTTTTACGGATAATATCCGTACACTGATATCAAGAAAAAAGTGAATTTTCGACGCTGAATATTATGATTATAACACTAATTTACAAAATCGAAAAAAATTCTATTTTGACCCACAAAACACGAAAATCACTCAATTTTTTTTTTTGAAATATGAATTTTCAATTGTTTTTTTTTTTAATTTTCGGAGGTGTTTTGACGTTTTTGAGTATAGCTTGAAATCTAATTGATCGATTTGGTCAAACAATCCCTTAAATGGAAGGTATTTGAGCCCTCTAAAACTTTCTTTTACATATTTTTGATATCGGATAAGTATTTTGACGCTAGCGATTTTAATAACGTAAAAAATTCGTTTTTATGGCAAAAATTGAGGTCGAAAATTTACAAATCGTCCTGGGAAAGGTTTAAATCAAGCAGATAACTCCAGTTTGAATTTTTTTTCGTGAAGCTGACATTTTTACAAATAAAACAAGCTAATGTTGATATAAATACATGGAAAAATGGCGAAGTTATGAATTTTTTAGTTTAAGACCAAAATTCAGCTTTTTGACGATTTTTATTTTATTTTGTAATATGTTTATTCTTTAATGAAAAAACCTAAATAAAGTGCATGATTGGAATTTTTTGAGTCTTTAACGTACTTTTTTCACCGAAAACATTATTCAAAATTTAAATTTGACATGACTCCGCAAACGTGAATTCTTTTGTTTCTCGTGTTGGCTTAGTGACATTTTACTGATATTTTTTGATATTTCAACAAGGTATTTTTATCATGGTTTTATTTAGTTAATAAAAAGTGTAAAATGAGCAAAAGAAGTAGAGAGTTCGAGTGCGTAAATAACCCGGACAATCTGGGCGACGTAAGTGATGAGCACGGAGAACGTTTTCACCAGCAAATGAAGGCTATGGAGCGGCGGTATCACGGCTTCTGGGATGCAGCCATGATGCGTGATTACATTTGGTCCCTCATATGAGAAACGGAATACGAAAGCAACAAAAAACAAAGAAGGAACCAGAATTTTTTTAAACCTATGCTTATTACAACAAAATAAACTTTCAATTTCTCCAATATTCATTGTTTAATATTCAATAGGTATATAATTTAATTTTAATATTTAATGTTTAAAATAAAAATCAATGTTCAATATTAAACTTAAATAATTCAATAAAATGAAGAAAAAACGTAAAAATTCTCGAAAAACTGAATTTTGGTCTTCCACTAAAAAATTCATAACTTCGCCATTTATCCTTGGATTTTTATCAACAGCAGCGTATTTTTTTCCTTTAAGTTTAATCTATACGTAAAATAAATCAAACTGGACTTATCTTTCGATTTCTATCTTTCCCAGAAAGATATGTAAATTTTCGACCTCGATTTTTGTAAAAAAAAAGGACTTTTTCAACTTCATAAAATCGCCAGTATCGAACTACTGAGCCGATACCAAAACTATACAAGAGAAAGTTGTAGCGGGCTCAATTACCTTTGATTTAAGTGCTTGTTTGGTCAAATCGATCAAATAGAACTCGAAGTATACTCTAAAACGTCAAAACAAAACAATTGAAAATTCATATCTCTAAAACGCTTCCATGAAAAAAAATTTAAGTGTGATTTTCGCGTTTAGTGAGCCAAACTACACAAGAAAATCATAGTGAGACATGGTGGCTGTAAGCTAGTGTTATTTATTCGTTTTATTTTGAATTTAGTAAGATTATTCTACCTTAACTCCTATTAAAGAAGTCAGATATATTTTATGGTTAAATAAACTGCACACGTAAAATTATATCATTGGTGTTAACTTAGTATTTTTTATTATTTTGATATAAACATTAAAGGGCATGAATAATTAATAATTATTGTAGTAGTGGAATGAATAGAATAAAACGTTTTAGCTATAAGGTCAATTGTAAAAATGGTGGACAACCCTGTTGATAAAAATCAACAAAAAATGTTGGACAAAAAATTGGATAGGTGCAGAAATCCTGAGTATAATCCAGATAGTGAAATGTAATTGTTATATTTTGTAATATACTCCATATATTCTTAATTTTCTTTTTAGATACAAGAAGAGACTTCAAGCTATGCTTGAGGATGATGATGACTTATATCAGGCAATAACATCTAATGTTGATGAATTTAATAGTTCAGCTTTAAACATGTCAATAACATCACCATAATTTTCTTTACTAAATTATTTTTTTCAGGTTTATTTTAAACGAATCCATTTAATAAAATAAATACTTTTTGTCAAAAATTATTTACTCATAAAATAAACAAAATACATAATAAAATATACAGATAAAAATTTTATATACATTCAATAAACTAAACCTAATTATTTTCAAAATGTCTCCCAAAATTCTGCAGCTGCAAAATTGGCGAAGGTTCTTTAGGTTGTTCTGGGTAGTCCACATAATTTGGAAGGCATTGCCTTTGTGGGTGAGGCATAGGCATTTGAGGCATCATTGGGGGGGCATTAGAACTGGACGCCATTGGTAACATGTTTGGTCCCACTGGTGGGGCTGAGGACAAACCAGGTTGACCTGGATAATTGAAAAACCTAAAAAAATCATAGTAATATAGGACAAAAAAGTTCGCACGTTACTTTGGCGGTAAGATTTTTGTTTTTTTGTTAAGAGCAGGGCTGTGTTTAAATTACAATAAAAAATATTTCTAAAAAGTATACAGATCAGTGTGTGGTATAAATGTGTTCCTCATGGTTTAAACATTGTCACTTTAATGCGTTTTAATTTTAATTCTGAAAACAAACAGTAAAATGGCCAGTGTCCAATTACTGGTTGATAAAAAATGTAAATTTCTATTATTGGACATGTGTCCAATATCATACTGTATTTGTATCCCGGACATTTACCAGCCAATTCTTGTGTAAAATTGTCCCGTGAATCCGAAAAGACCGTCAAAAACTATAAAAGTTAAGCAGTTTTTGAGATATAGTCAATTCCATATTATATGTAAAATTGATTATATTTCAAAAACTGTTCTACTTTTATAACTTTTGACGACATTTTCGGATTCAGCGAATATTATTTCATAGGAATTGACTGCTAAATTTCCTGGATACAAATTTCTGTTGACGAGAATTATTAGTGGCTGCTTTTTCGCTTTGTCATTTTTGACTAATTCATTTTTAGAGAGTAAAGCCGGATTTATAGTTTGACGGAACGGAACGGAACGTAGACGTAGACGCACTGCAAAAAGATCAACTTTAAAATGTATGTACTCTTGTTTATAAATGAACGTAAGCGTATGACGTAACGTAAGCAAAACGGACTGAAACGGAAGAGTTGGTCAACATTTATCTTTTACAGTGCGTTTCTTACGTCTGGCCAATAGGAAACCAGTAAACATAACCCCACCTACATTTTAAAATAACGACTATTAATAATTATTACAATATTATAAATGACATTTGATAGTTGTTTTTTTGTGATCTGAGGTTTATAAATTTGTGTTTGTGCTAAAAAATGGACATCTAATAACTTATTAAATACAGTCATTCTCGTATACTTAAAGAACTGATCTGGATGAACTATTTTCATTTTTAAAAAATAATTGTAGGCATTCTCCACTTTTCTGTTAAGGTTAATGGGTCTTGTTTTATAACGTCTTGGGCGCCTAATTATTGTTTTTCCAGTTTGTCGACAATTTTTCAATGCTGCTGCACACAACAGTAGACCCACAGCACCAAAAAGTATACCTTCATGTATTTCATAATCCATTGTGACACGGAAGACGAAACAGAATTAAACACAATTAAACAAACACAGGCAAGACGGCGCATGCGAAAAAAGTCCGTTCCGTCGATTTATAAATTGAATACTTTTTTACAGTCCGTTTTTTACGTATCCAGTGCGTCTACGTCTACGTTCCGTTCCGTTCCGTCAAACTATAAATCCGGCTTAAGTAATATAGTGATTTCTTCGTCAAAGGACATCTTGCAGAATAACAGTGCATGATAGAGAACATAAAAAACTAATGGCAACAAAATTAATAAATTCGGAAAAAACTTTTAACATACCACCCGAAAAAATATTAGATTATATAAATCATCCTGTTCCGGCCTAAACATTATAAATGCTTTACACTAGAGATACCACACTTAATGATATTTGCAACAAACTATTTCAGAAGTCAGACCAAGGAATTAGTAGTTACCTTCAGAATCCAGAAAAGGGATGATGAATCCGAGAAATAAATATATGAATTATATGATATTTACAAAAACGAAATAAAAAAATTACCTAAAACAGCAATTTATCTTTAAAAAATATTTAACAATTTGTTATTTGGTGTAAAGTTGTTATGTTTACCTATATAAAAATTGCATGTCCAATTACTATATAAAATGTCCAATTACTATACTTTTTAGTATGTTTTTATAAAACTATTATTAAAAATTTAAATATTCTTATTTTTAGGTAAACGTAAATAAAGTTTAAACCAGCATATATATATTTATAAGAAAAAAACTAAAATCTTTAAAACAACTGCATATATAAATTTTAAATAAATAATATTCCTTAAGTGTCCAATAACTATGTGGTTTTTTTTATTACCTACCATAATCTATCGCCCAAAAATATTGGTCTGGGAGTTAAAATCCCCATGGAATTGTAGTACTGCTGGGCCAGAATTTCAATGTCGTTGGTGTATTTCCTTTTCCACTTGGTTCTCCTATTTTGGAACCATATTTTGATCTGGGTTTCAGTTAGCTTCAACGTTTTCGATAGCTGGCATCTTTTGGCAACCGAAAGGTATTTATTTTTCTCGAACTCGGCTTCCAAAGATTTTATTTGAGCAGCCGTGAAAGCAGTCCTAGGACGTTTTTTACGATCATCCTCGGATTTGCTGTCAGAATAACTTGTATCTGTAAAATAGAAGAATTTATTTTAGGTTGGGTAAATATAATTTTATTGCTTGTCAGTCGATGAAATGTTACATCTGTATGTAGCAAATGTGCATCCATTGCCAAATTATTTTATGAGGATAAAGACATTTTAATACGCTAAGAAGTATCGGGTTTTCGAAACGCGCGCGCCATCTGGTGGACTTCAAAAGCATTGCGTGAATTTAAGAATTGCCAACAATACATTTAAAGCATACGAACTGTACATCATTTTTAAATAAATAGGTAGTTTTTTCACAAAAGAAAGTCTTACTCGACAAATTTTGTTCAATTGCACAGCTAAATCGCGCACGTTATTTGTGTTTTACGTTGCAAGGAAAAAACTAAAAAACTGGTTTAGTACTCGATTTCGATTGATTATTCTTTATATCATTGATTAAGAAACTCAACGCTTAAATGTTTATATAGTTACGTTAGTGTGTGTATTTTATCTAAGGGATCATGGTGAATTATCGTGTTTTTAATTGTAAATAAAATTCAAGAACTAAATCGTTGCATTTTCATGTTTTGCCAAATGATCCAATTCGGTAAGTACATTTGTTGGTGCAGAATTAACTAATGATAACTTTACCTTATATAATTTATGTTTAAGTTTGGACATTTTTAAGAAATTAGTAAAAAATTATTTTTACACAAACATAACCTTAAAATCAACCATTTTTATATTTGAGTTCTCTAAAAACGCCGACAACTGCATTTTAAACAACAAAATATACCTACGAATTCATGGCAACATTATTTTTATATTCATAAGATAATGGTATTTTACCGTTGAGTGGAGACTTTCTTAATTAACGCTTTTAATAATGCTAAATGCTGTTTAAATTTGGACGACATTTTTGTTTGGCGATTATTACTGAATTGAAATGTATACACTTTTAACGTTAATCACTACTAAAATGTGTATTTATTGTATCTAATAGGTACAATTTATATTTACAGGGACTGTATGAAATTTATTTCTTCATTCGGATTAACACTGTATATTGGAACACCGATAAAAACTCAACCCAGGATTTCCTCTCGAAATACACCCAACAACACAAAAAATCGTGCCACGGTTTTTTTTCGATATTTTTTAACATTTTCCGGCTTTATTCTCAAAAACACTAAATAGTTATTTATGTCATTAGGTTAAGAAGTAAGGCTTTTTGTAAGCACAAAAAGGCACTTCTTTGTCGAATATGGCATACAACATTTTATCTTCAAAGCACTTTATATACATAGGTCAATTTAATTCAACATCAAAGCGGCCTAACCTTTTTTAGAATCTCATTTATTTATTAGCTAAAGATTACATTAAATGTACAATAATTATTATTGCTTTTAGAAGCAGTAATAGTTTGACAATACCTTGATTTAAGTAGAAATGGATTTTTGCTATTACATTGAATTCAATTAATTGTTTAATAAATAGGTAGGCATCTAATTTCAATTTGTTTGGATTTTTATTTAAAAAATAGGTAGTTTGGAATGTTTAACATTTAATTTCACTGAAAACTTAAAGCAAATTAAAACTTAAAGATAATTTAAATCGTAGAAAAAGAATCGTGCGTTTTCTTGGTTGCCTAACCCGACTTTTTGTTTTATTATTCAAATTTAATTTTACAATAATTTAATGAAAAATATTAAACATTAACAGTAAAACAAACAAATTAGTGCTTATTATAAATGAATTAAACCAGTTGAGTAGGTACGTTAATTTCTTAAAAAGGATTAATTTGTCAAAACAATACCCCTAGCGAGAAAAAATCGAACTAATTACTTGCCTCATAAAAATTTTTATCGGCCTAGGCCATAACAAGGTATTTCTTTATCGAATGTTGACAACAATAAAGTTTAAATTATAGACAGCGTGGAGATAAAAAAAATTATATATTAATGGCAAATCTCCGTTTAAATGCAGATGAAAGTTGATGTAAAAATAGAGCCAATTATTTATTAAAATGTAACAATTTCCTAACCAATTAAAATGCTGTAGATACTGGTGTCGCAAGGCTCGTAAATCGTTCCGAGAGAAAGAGAAAATGTTCAAAAGTGTTGCTGGTTGTAATTTATAATCGGGAATTCTCATATGTCGTTTATAACCGAAATTAATGTCAGTTATCCGCCTCTAATCGCAGCAGCATAAAGTGCCCCTAAATAATGTCGAATTTAAGGTTAGGCGTCATGTTAGTCGGTAATATATTGCCGCTAGATAGCGGCATTTGTTTTTTGTGTCATTTTTCAACGCTCGCTGGATCGTTAGGCGTTTAAAATCTAATTTCGTCTCCGCTGGCGCAAATTAGCGTCTTCTTAACATGTCTGCACTTCCCACCCGACATCCACCGTCATAAATTTCGTTACGGCAAATTAAAAACAACTGTTTGGTGTAAAATTTGACGCTCCGACCATTCAATAATATAAACTACTTAATAAGCAATAACACAGCACCCGAAACTGTTCAAAACACTTCAGTGCACTGTTAATATGATTCAGATGATGTTGTTAGTTTGGGATCGTTTATAATTTTCAAATGGCGTTTTATATATTAATGTTTAATTTTTTTTTATTGTGTTTTGATCTTTCATAATTAAAGAGGATATGACAGCTCAGGTTCCAGATTTTTAAACTCAATTAATTATTTTTTACAATGTTTTAAAACTCTAAAACTTATCCTCCGTGACTGTTACTCTTTCTAGGTTAACCTGTATGTTTTCAAATATCTGAGGTAGTAAAAGCATACTAAAAATATCAGTTCACTAAGTAAATTAAACACAACCAAAGCAATCGAATCAAATATAAAATATTATTAAAAATTAAAAGAAATCATTTTTATAACCATTTATGTAGGTGTTACAAAAATTGATTCTAGTTTAAGTTCATTAATTTGGTATTTAAAAACCGTGAAGTGTAATATCTCAGTAAGTAGATTTTTTTTAGAAATATTTTATGTATGTACAATTGTATTTTTTAAAAATATTAAGGTGTCAAAAGATACAATAAGTTATTTCAAATATACAAAGGGATGTTTAAAAAAACATACGAAATCCTAACCTCCGTAAAGCTCTAATATTCAAATTGTATGAATTCTTAAAATTCTTGCATTAGTGCAGAACCACTTATGTTATGTTATTACTAGACTTGGTGGCTTCCCAAAAACCCCATTCTAGACTAACAGTGAAACAACCAAAAATAAGAAAGTTAAGTTAGTTGACAGTTGTCAAATGTCATACAATCCTTAAAATAAAGTGCATTTCTTGTAAAATAATACTAAATGTGAAAATTATTTTATTATCTCAATACAAAAGTATTAAATAGTTTCTCAACGCCAATATTTGAAAAGTTTATATGAACATTGTACTGACCTTTTAATTTTGCCGGCAGTAAACTATAACTTAAATTCGGGCAGGGACTCCACTATAAAGTGCTCATAAAACATTTTCTTTACTTTCACTGCGAAAAACTATCAATTTTCGAGATACATTTCGATTTATAACCTTTATAATCTGTGTTTATAAAATGTAAAAATTTGACATTTGACGGTGACACCCAGATTCCCCTATTGTTTCATAGATGGCGCTCTATACAAATTTTTAATTTAAATCATTTTAAGATACTTGATACCTACATAATTATGTATATTAATACTTAGGTAACTATAATAGTATATATTATAGTTACCTAAGTATATTATTTGTTTTTTATTTTACACTTTGTGTTTTTATTTTTAAACCTTCTCAATGTGCTTGTTGTATTGCCATAGCTTTGCGAGTTCATAAGCGTACACATGTACGCCGCAGCCATACATCAACGCCTAATTGACAGGAAACGTTTCGAGAGACAAAGTGACACTAAACGTTGTCTAATTACCCGAAAGCCGCACCGCACCCCTCACCTATAACCCGCCCGTTTTGATTCTATTTATTCGCGATAATGCGAACTACGCGACACGAACCTTTTTTCCTTGTTTCGCTCTTTATTGTTGGCAAGGAACAAAGAACGTTGATTGAGATACGAGCGAGACTCGACGATCGCTCAGATTTATCCTTTTAAAAGGTGCCAAAATTTGGGATTTTTTAATCACTTGGGTCAAGATACCTCTCTCGGAAATTGCTACAATACAATAGTAATTTACGTTACAAGGCCGGGAAATGGCTTATTAAAGTACGAGTCAGATGTTTACGGACGAGGCGACGAAGGAGCCGAGTCTGGAATTTCTAGACAAGTACTTTAATGACATTTCACGGCCGTGTATCGTACAATGTTTTATTTCATACTATTCAATATTTTTTCAAATTTTTGGTACAAAAATGGAACTGTATATTCAGGTGAAGGTGTCAATAATGTGTCAGTACATGATGGTATCAGCATTGTCTAAACAAACTATAAAATGTAGCACCAGTAATATAGGGTGATAATATAGTATGCTTTAAATCGGTTGCTAACAGTAACAAAGAGTTTTTTTTATTGATTGTCTTGTCTGTCAGTTCAGCATCGTTTTGAATCTGTGGTTTTGAAAGTTCTGAAGCGACGGCGAAACTTATCCCGGTCAAGTCTTCCGGACGATATCAAAAGGAATACGAGATATTCTGTAAATGGCGCAAAAAATTATAATCGTTCAGAAATAACCATGTGTTAGTTAAAATATACGAGTCCGGTAAAGTTACTTTACCGGCCTAGTGATGTAATGTATCATTTCCCGGACTCAAATGAGTCCGGGAAATGGCACATTAAAGTACAGTATGAAATAAATAAAATTACTTGATGGTTGGGTTATTTGTATTTTTCGTATGTGAAAAACAATTTTAGATATAGCATTTAGGGTAAACCACATAGTTATTGGACAAGAATATTATTTATTTAAAATTTATATATGCCGTTGTTTTAAAGATTCTAGTTTTTTTTCTTATGAATATATAAAAACATGCAAAAAAGTATAGTAATTGGACATTTTATATAGTAATTGGACACATGGACCATAGTTATTGGACATACAATTTTTATATGAACATAACAACTTTACATCAAATATCATAGGTAAATTGTTAAATAATTGTTAAAGATAAATTGCTGTTTTGCCATTTTACTGTTTGTTTTCAGAATTAAAATTAAAACGCATTAAAGTGACAATGTTTAAACCATGAGGAACACATTTATACCACACACTGATCTGTACACTTTTTAGAAATATTTTTTGTTGTAATTTAAACACAGCCCTGCTCTTTAACAAAAAAACAAAAATCTTACCACCAAAGTAACGTGTGAACTTTTTTGTCCTATATTGGACCCAAAATAAAGTAGTTCTATATTATTACCGACTGAGATAGTTAGTTATAATTGTATACAGCGTCATCTAATGATTTTACTTTAAGGTAACTATTTATATTTAGAAGTCTTGTTTTTACAGTATTAATGTTAAATGTCCATTAACTATAAAGTGTCCGATAACTACCTACTTTACCCTACACCAATTTTTTATCATAATCACCATTTACATCTCTAAATATTTATTTTATAGTTATAGGGAATGCTACAGCATTTCAATAGAAAATTAGGAAGACCATCCATTTTACATTTACAATATTTTTAGTTAGTTAGCCTGATTTGCTCTGGGTTTTCTTTATATTTTTACATATTTTAAAAGACAATTTAATTTAGAACCATAAAATATTATTGCTTATCTACCCTAAACCTAAAAATAAACAATCCACTTGAACTCTGTGATTGTTAAATTGTCTTTCAACGTAACATTTAGATAAATTTTATTTAGTGAATATTCCCGACGTTTAATTATATTTCCGTTTTCTTCATTTTAATCAGAAAAAAAGACACCAATTTTCTAATGCAACCGACTTTGTAGCTACAATAATGACAAAGTTACTACAGTCCCCTGGCAAATAGGAGTATTGGGTACGTAACCTATAAAAGTGGTCAATTGGCAAATCTTATCTAATACAGTATACAGGGTGTCTCACCAGCGATGGTACCTTAGACGTTTACGGAGAACGGCTGAGGATATCAATTTGAAATTTTTATAGCAGTTATTGTACAATTTAATCTACCTTTTAAAATTATTTTGAATAAAATTCCTCTTCCTGTTTAACCGGAAGCGACATCAACTTTGTTATTTCCAATGGAACACCCTGTAAAATTTTTTATTTTTAAATTCTTCATGAAATTCTTAATGAAATTGCTGTACCATTCCCTATACCTAAACTTAATAGTTTTCGAGTTTTTTCGTAAAATGTTGACAGTTGCACCTTCATTAAAAATTGCTTATAACTTTTTTGATATTCGGTTTTCTGTTATGCTGTAAGGATTTTTGGAATCTTAAAACATTGTTTTAAAGATTCCATGTCTGAAATTTTCATATTTATGATCAAAAACTAGAGAAAAATCGTGGTAAATTTGGTTAACTTCAAACATTAATAACTTGTTTATTTTCAATGGAACTGTATGCATGTTTTTACATAATCAAATAGGAAAATGAATTACATTTCGATTAGTATAACCATACCCTATACCTAAATAGTAAGGTTTCGGAAATACAAGCAAATTTCTGTAAAAATCCAATATTTTGACATATTTATCTCAGATACCGATGAAATGTCACAACGGAATCTCCCAGGCTCCGCATTTTAAAATGTTTGCAAGTCAATGGTCGCCATTTTGAACATTTATTAAAATAGTATTTTGGTTGTTATTTTTTCCGTCACGTTTTTTATAATTTATAATAATTAAATTTTTAAAACTTTGTTTAATTGTTGTTTTCCATTATTTTTAAAATTAAGAAATGCATCAACTGTCAATCAATGACATAACTAATTTGTTGTGACATTTCATCGGTATCTGAGATAAATATGTCAAAATATTGGATTTTTACAGAAATTTGCTTGTATTTCCGAAACCTTACTATTTAGGTATAGGGAATGGTTATAACAATCAAAATGTAATTCATTTTCCTATTTGATTATGTAAAAACATGCATACCGTTCCATTGAAAATAAACAATTTATTAATGTTTGAAGTTAACTAAATTTAACACGATTTTTCTCTGGTTTTTGATCATAAATATGAAAGTTTCAGACATGGAATCTTTAAAACAATGTTTTAAGATTCCAAAAATCCTTACAGCATACCAGCAAACCGAATATCAAAAAAGTTATAAGTTATTTTTAATGAAGGTGCAACTGTCAAAATTTTACGAAAAAAATTATTAACTCGAAAACTATTAAGTTTAGTTATAGGGAATGGTACAGCAATTTCATTAAGAATTTCATGAGGAATTTAAAAATAAAAAATTTTACAGGGTGTTCCATTGGAAATAACAAAGTTGATGTCGCTTCCGGTTAAACCGGAAGAGGAATTTTATTTAAAATAATTTTAAAAGGTAGATTAAATTGTACAATAATTGCTATAAAAATTTCAAATTGATATCCTCAGCCGTTCTCCGTAAACGTCTAAGGTACCATCGCTGGTGAGACACCCTGTATAGTTGCATACAGGGTGAGTCATTTAACTTGACTTTGAAATATCTCAGTTAGTATGCATTTTACGAAAAAATAATTAAAATAAAAATTAAATGAATCAAGAGGGGAAATCAATCAGTACTAAAATTGGTCCTCATACTCTCCTACTTATAAGGGGAACATGGGGTAACTTTAAAATTTCCAATGGAACACCCTATTTTTTATTGCAGATTCGGATCATTCGACTAAAAATAGGTAGATGTTGTCTAAAACATTTTTTTACATTTGTAATGAAAAAAAATCAATTTTGTTCGATTTTTCTTCTTATACGATTCTGCAATAATTTTTCTATAAAAATAACACTTTTTTGGTAATAATTATCTTATTAAATTAAATATGATTTTTTTAAGTACCCACGATTTTTTAACTAATATTTAAGCTTTCTTTGGTTTAAGTTTTATACATTATTTCATTCGGTGATAATTATTAATTGCGCACCATGGTCACTTTTTACTTAATCCTTTAATTTAAAGGATTATTGTACTATTTTTAATAAAAATACCTCATTTAAGGTAAAAAAACATTATTTTGTCAATTAATTAATTTAATCCTAATTGAGGTATAAAAAATGGTATTTAGTTATAAATAATAATTATTATGGAGGTATAAAGAAACTACTTATAGTTTAGCATTATTTAATCAATTTAGTTCGAAGATTAATTTGCAAACAAAAAGACCTCCTTTCGTTAAGCAGTTATTCGTAATGGATTTTTTTAACAGTGGAAGAAAAAATAGAAATGATTTTGATTTATGGAGAAGCAGGCAGGAATCTTGATGATGCTGTTAATATCTACGCTCAGCGTTTTCCGGAAAAAAATCGATCACGTACTTCATTTCATGAAATGCACCGGTGCACCGTACAGTTTACTACAAACGGGAGTGTTCAACCGAAAAAAGAGTTTGTCGAGCAACAGTCACAGGTGGAAATAATGAAATTAATGTATTAGCATCAACGTTTCAAGTTGAATGAGTCACCCTGTATAGTTGCTGGTTTGTTATTTTTAGTGATTTTTTTGTTTTTCATAATTCTTCATATTTCAAGATAAAATATGATGTTTGTAGATAAAATTTTGTGGGGGTTTCAGGTTCTCTTATTTCTGGATTTGAGCGTTTAAGTAGTGCAGTATCTGAAGCGTCGGAAACGATGCTGTCTTCGTCATATTTCCGTTGACTAATTGCCCTGGTACACGACACCTCTGTCTAAACAGGATTAACTTTAATCACACTTCAACGTTATTAATTACCCGTATAGCAATTACCTTTTTCGTGGTTTGT